TAAGTTTTTTATATGCTATTCTAAATGTTACAAGTTTAGTAGTTGTTAAACTCTGCTGCAATGATGGTGTTCAAGTTCCACAAAAGATTCATGTTTAAATATACTTCCTCTCCGGTCCAGGTTAGCATTTTTTAATCTCTGCTTGCAATATACGAACTATTATAATTGATACGTCTGATTCAGGTACACTATAGAGGAGTCAGAGTTACCAATTTAATTGCACAGGTTCATAGCAGTTTTTAGATAAACGTTTGAAATTGATTTCATACATTTTAGTTGCTTTGAACAAAAGGGGAGGGGGGATCTGCTATACTAATTTACTGTCTTCGGGGAAAGAATATAAATATCACCTATTCATATTTTTTAATCACTGGACTATTAGATTGTGCATAAAACAACACCTGGAATTAACACAATACTGCGACAGATTTAAATTACTGTTTCATGTGTTTTTAAGTAGCAAAGTGATCATATATGAATACCATAACTATTATGGTCTTAAATAAGTAAATAGTAATCCAAAATTTTTCCTCACCACTTAATGTACGCCAATTCCGCTAACAATGTTCAATACGTTTTCTACCCAATTATTATGCACATGCAAGATTGTTGTTAAAATTAAAACCCATTCACATTGCATGTAAATTTCATTTGACAAAGTCGTCTAATGCGTTGCAGGTGTTCATCTAAAATGACAAATTCTAACAAAAAAAACAAAACTAACAGCAGGAAAGTTCATCTGAGTAAGTATGACGCAAATGACCTCTCAGCATAGTGCAGATCACACACAGGATCAACCCTTTCCAGTTTCTACTACTAGAAATGGTATACTTTTGGTGATTGTGAAGTAATGAGGCATTATGACGCACTTATGACACACAACATACACCATTTATACATTGTTTATTTCATTTGAATTGCAGAATCCGGTTCAAAACGATTTTCACAAAAAAGGATTTATGATGCACATGAAAAATCAAATGAAGATGTAGCGACTACTGCCAAAATAAGGAAACATAGCACTGCAGCGTTCTTGCTGCCCAATTTACCATCACATGGTGAATCATCATCTGTTGCTAACTTTCAGAACCACACATACACATCAACTGTTTTTAAAAAAGGTAATCACTTTTACAGAAAAAATTATCCAATACATCTTTCATTAGATAGGGAATAACAGTCAATTGTGTCATTTAGGTTTGCAATATGGCAGTGATGCAGTAAGATCAAGTTCTATAGTTTCTTCCGGACAGACTATACATAATTTCTTCAGGAGTCCCTTACATGATATTAGTAACGGTATATGATATTGGACATTGGAACGTTTTTGTTTCATGTTAGTATATTGAAGAAGCAAGTCAACTAAAAAAGATCAACCTAACCTTCAATGAATTATATCTATGGCTCACTAGATGTACGAGAGGACAGATGTCATGCTAAAGTGACAAGATCACCTACAAAGTCAAGAAAGCTTGGACCTGGAAGGTTCATCTTAAGCATGGGTAACATCACAAATCACAGCCCCTTGACATCAACGTCAAGAATCCATGAATGCGCCACAAACACTTCCAGTCACCAATGGGCCGGTAATATGAATTCTACTCAATACACTTTATTTCTTTGGCCTCTTTCTCATTAAGATATTTTCCTAAAATGAGCATCATGATTTTCTATATAGAAGAACAACAATTGAACGAGAATGTGGATCCTCAAAACTCCCAAACTGTTAATGTTAACTATAATTATGATGCTCTTATTCCAGGTAAATAACTAGATTCATGTGTACAAAAATTTGGAGAAATTGCAATAACAAATTTATAGGTGTTAATATATACTTTCCATACACAGCGAATGCGACATGCAATGACGTCATGATGCTTAATGAAGCAGAATGTGTCACTCAATCACATCATGTCAATATGGTCCAAGATGAATCCAATACCACCATTGGTAAAAAAATTAAGACTAAATTGTATCACTTAATGAACACCAATACTTGATGATCTTTAACTTTCTACCTATTGCTACATGTTTGCTTTATAATTCATTCAAAAATGACACTTTTTTTTCGTAGGGAATGCATCAGATCAAGATAATAATAGAGAATGTCATGATGAGGATGATCCGATGTTAACTGATGATACCTTGCTTACATATGAGGGTATACTAATTTTCTTTCATTACAATTGACAGTACAAATATTTGGACATGACCTTCTTCTACTCATTTCTGTTAACATTTTCTTAGGATATTCTGATATTGGAGACCCAATTTGGGAGTGTGAGTTTTGCAATGCTCTCATGTGGTATTCAGAAAGAGTAGAAAAGGGGTGGAAAGCTAAAAAACCAAAGTTCTCCTTATGTTGTATGCAAGGAAAGATAAAAATTGCTGACCTCACACCGCCACCTCAACTTCTCATAGATTTGTATCGCAACAATGACAAACGGAGTAAATATTTCTTGGAAAACATCCGATCATTCAATATGATGTTTTCTTTCACATCTTTGGGGGAAAAAATTGACTCCTCTATTAATAATGGTGGTGGACCGCCGATTTTTATCATGAATGGTGAAAACTATCACAGAATAGGGAGTTTGCTACCCTTACCAGGAGATCAGCCCAAGTTCGCCCAGTTATACATACACGATACCAACAATGAAGTTGCTAACAGGATGTGTGCAGTCGGGTAAAATCATTAAATATTATATTACTCACTAATTCTGTTATGAAAAATCTACTTACACTTTTGTTCATTGCTTAGGATGGGAAAAGAACCATCTTTAGTCGAAGAATCTATTGTTGCAGACCTGAAAACAATGCTTGATGAGTGCAATCCTTATGTTCAAGCATATCGCATGGTCCGTGATAGGGTTCAACAAAATGAGTTTTCTTCTCTAAAGTTGAGGATTATAGGAAAAAGAGGACACAATGATAGACGATATAGTCTTCCAACAGCCTCTGAAGTAGCTGCCCTTATTGTAGGAGACTTTGACTCAAGTAGTGCTGAGAGAGATATAATTGTAGAAACACAGTCAAATACTTTGAAGCGTATTTCTGTTTTGAACTCTGCGTATCTCCCATTACAATACCCTTTATTATTTCCGAGGGGAGAGCAAGGATATACAGAGGACATCCCACTCAATGAGTCTCAAAATGGAAAATCTAAAAAGAGACAAACTGTTTCAATGAGAGAGTTCTATGCTTATAGAATCCAGAACCGAACAAAAGAACAAACGTTGATACTGTTCTCAAGGCGTCTATTTCAGCAATTATTGGTTGACGTCTACAGCACAATAGAGTCATCTCGATTGTATTATTACAGAACTCATCAAAAGGAAGTGAGAGCGGATATGTACAAGGGTATTAAAGAGGCTATACTGAGGGGTGACACCGACTCTGCAGCGGTTGGCAAACGGATTGTGTTGCCATCATCATTTACAGGCGGTGCACGGTATATGATTCAAAACTATCAAGATGCTATGGCAATATGTGCCGCCGTAGGTTATCCTGATTTGTTTATTACGTTTACCTGCAACCAAAAATGGCCTGAACTGCGTAGAGCCTTGAATGCACAAGGATTAAAATCTGAAGATAGGCCTGACCTAATTTGTAGAGTGTTCAAGATCAAGCTTGATGAATTAATTAGGGATATTAAGGGGGGCAACGTCTTTGGACCGATCAGGGCAAGTACGTACATTTGATCATAATACATTTTAAAGGATTCATTCTTCAATAATATCATAATCTAAAACATCATCATCATTATCATTATTATTATTACGCATTTCAAGCACATGCTGACCACAATACACCATCACTTTAGTCCAATATTACTTATTCTTTGACTCAGGTCTGTATTTTTCAAGACCTAACTAAGTGATCCATATTTTTCATGTGCAGTGGTCTATACAATTGAATTCCAGAAGAGGGGACTACCCCATGCACATATTTTGCTTTTCTTGCACCCACAATTTAGATATCCCAATCCACGTGATATTGACAAAATAATTTGTGCTGAGCTGCCAGACCCGGAGAGTGATCCTGATTTATTTAAAATTGTGTCATCACTCATGATTCATGGTCCATGTGGGGTACAAAATAGAAAATCCCCATGCATGCAGAATGGAAAATGTAACAGGTACTTTCCCAAAAAGTTTGTCCAAACGACAATCATTGATGATGATGGGTACCCAGTGTATCAACGAAGAGAAGACGGCAGAGTTATAAAAAAGGGTAAATATGTGATTGATAATAGATTTGTTGTGCCCTACAACCGGTATCTACTTCTTAGATACAATGCCCATATCAATGTTGAGTGGTGTAACCAATCTCGGTCCATCAAATATCTGTTCAAATATGTCAACAAGGGTCAAGATCGGGTTAGTGCAAGCTTCTACGGTGGTGATCACGAGGTATCATCACATTGTGTGGATGAGATAAAAAACTATTATGATTGCAGGTATCTATCATCATGTGAGGCTGGATGGAGACTTTTTGCATTTGACATCAGTCACAGGGAACCTTCTGTGGAAAGATTGCCCTTTCATTTACCCGGAGAACAACAAGTTTTATTTGATGATGAGGATTCACTTGAGGAGATTTTGCATACACATGATACAAAAAGTACCAAGTTTCTTGCATGGATGGACGCAAATGAAAAGTATCCTGAAGCAAGAAACTTAACTTATGCCCAATTTCCTTCTGCATTTGTTTGGAAACAAAAAACACGTGAATACTGCCCTAGAAAAAGGGGACAATCTGTTGGCAGGTTGCATTTCATCCCCCCTGGAAGTGGGGAGTTGTATTATTTGCGGATTCTGTTAAACTATGTCAAGGGACCAAGGTCATTCGATGAGATCAGAACCATCAATGATATCATTTATCCAACATTTAAAGATGCATGTTATGCCTTCGGACTCTTAGATGATGACAAAGAATACATCGATGGTATTACAGAGGCAAGTCGCTGGGGTACACCACATTTCCTAAGAAGGCTTTTAGTCGTGTTGTTGTTGTCTAGCCAATTAGGAAGGCCTGAGTTGGTTTGGGAAAAAACATGGAAACACTTGAGCGATGACATCCAATACAGACAGAGGCTGCTATTTCAGTTTCCAGGTATTTATTTTTAGGAATAATTGATAATACTAAACCAATTAATGTTGGTCTGCCGGTAATAATCTCAACTACTAATAATTCTTGGGTTGTCCAGAATATAGGGACCATTTCCCAAAAATAATCTACAACCAGTTACAACCTGGCATAGCAGGTCATTTTTATATGTCAGCTATGTGTAAACTTTAAATAATCTCAATTATAGTTGACCTTTATTAGTTAATCCTAACTATCAACTATCAATTTTTGAAAGATATACAAACATTTTTACAAATTTCCAAACTAAATATTTTTAAGCATGAAAAATTAATTACGAATATTCTACAAATGTACCTATTAAATATTTAAAAATTGTCAATTTTAATTTATTTTCAATAAAAATTCATTTTCCCTTTTCCATTTTTTTCACAGTTGTGTTACCACTTTATGATTTTGTATTATTTTCCTTGCATTCAATTTACCTTTTCATTTTCTATTTCAAACACTAAATTGTGATTAAAAAATTACTATTTAGATCTTTATTCTAGCTTAATCTAAACTTTATATTTATTTCATTTTAGTATTTCTAATTTCTACCAATGTAAAATGTGAATATATAGCTTGAAATGCCTACAGAAAAATGTTTACCGAAAATACACACTTTTTCTACCAAAATAGTTGAAATTTTCCATTACATCACTTAAAATTATAATATTAAAAAAAATTCCTTAAAAATAGTCAAACCCTCCAAAAACTATACCCCAAGTCACTAGAATTAAATGACAAAACATAAATTATGATTTATAGAATATAGGGAAAATGGAAACTAATAATCCAACCTTTTAGCGATCTTCTTTAATAATACACCTTTTGATTATTCATGAATAATCCAACTTTTGCACCTCATCTTCATTCACTGGTCCCTGATCGGTTAATGACCTACTATTCTTAGTTATTTTCTTATCTTTGCAAAATATTATCTTTGTGAAAGATGAGATTTATGATATACTCCCTCCGTCCCACAATGTTTGGGACAAAGGAGTGTGGCACAAATTTTAAGAAAAAGTAGAATTGTGTGGTTGGTGTTGAATTGATAAAGTGTGAATAAAGTAAGAATGAATTGTAACCACCCAAATATTGCCAAATATGGTATGAGACACACTTAATGGGACGGACGAAAAAGGTAAAATGGGACAAAGTTAGAGGGACGGAGGGAGTAATGATTTACAAAGATAAGAAAAATAGCTTGGAATAGCAGATCATCAACCGGTCGGGGACCATTGAATGAAGATGAGTTGCAAAGGTTGGATTATTCATGAATAACCAAAAGGTTGGATTATTGAAAGAAGATCGCTAAAAGGTTGAATTATTAGTTTCCATTTTCCCTAGAATATAATAATATAAAAGAAACGAAATAGAAACAAACTACAAATACTAAAATGAAACAATATAAAATTAAGGTTTTTAAAATTAAAATAACATATAAAAACAAATAATATTTTAATCATTATTTAATTTTAGAAAACACATAATGTAAATTTGAATATAGTAAAATAATACAAAATCATAAATTGGTAACACAACTTGGAAAACAAATTGGAAAAAAGGAATAAATAAAAATTTAGTGAAAATAAACCGAAAAATGACTAAAAATTTTTTATTTAACTTCGGTACATTTGTATGATTTTTGTAGTTGTTTATAAAACTTTAAACATATTTAGTTTCGAAATTTATAAAATATATATTTACATCTTCCAAAAACTGAGAGTTTTTGGAATTAATAGAAAAAGATCAACTATAGTTAGAATTATTTAAAACTCACACATAGTTCACATTTAAAAGTGACATGCTGTACCAGGTTATAACCGGTTAGGGACTGTTTTTGGAAAATAATCAGTATAGTTAGGACCACCCAGGAATAATCGATTATTGAGATTAATAACGACGGACTGGAAATAGTTGAGATTATTATTTTCAATTTTCCCTGATTTTTATTGATTTGTTTGACCCATATTCATATGTACTAACACATAACGATGTCAAATACTAAAAATTATACACATGTGAAATACTAAAAACTATACAACTCTTATTTTGAAAGTAACCCTTTGTCACTTTTAATTTTCGTGAAACAGATTTGATTTTGTCAGAAGATGAATTACAAAAATTAACTCTTGCCGAGATTGATAAATTGTTGCGTAGAAATGGAAAGAGCTTGAGTGATTTTCCGACAATGCCTCAACCAGACACATCAATCATTTCTGAATCTGAAAATAGGCTATTACTGGATGAATTGAATTATGACCGGACAAAATTAGCAGCAGAGCACATTCAGTTGATGTCCACAATGACTTCTGAACAGAGAAGCATATACGACACAATTATGGAATGTATCAAGGATGATAACGGGGGTTTGTTTTTCCTTTATGGTTATGGTGGAACAGGAAAAACCTTCATTTGGAGGGCTATATCTGCATTTTTAAGATCTAAAGGTGAAATCGTATTGACAGTGGCATCCAGTGCAATAGCTGCCTTGCTTATCCCAGGTGGCCGGACAGCTCATTCCAGATTTGCCATCCCTCTTGACATCAATGAAGATTCTACATGTAACATTAAGCAAGGCAGTCATTTGGCAGAATTGATAATAAAATCAAAGCTCATCATATGGGATGAAGCTCCAATGGCCCACAAGCATTGCTTTGAAGCGGTTGATAGGACATTCCGAGACATTCTCAGATTTAGCCGAGGCGATAGTTTGGAACGTCCATTTGGAGGAAAGGTAGTTGTTTTCGGAGGTGATTTTAGGCAAATACTCCCAGTCATACCGAAGGCGACACGACAACAAGTAGTTCAAGCTACAATTAATGCCTCTTATCTTTGGCAGTTCTGTCGGGTTCTCACATTGACAAAAAATATGAGGTTACAAAGTGGTGCTGCGGATTGTGATGTCAATGCAATCAAGCAATTTTCTGATTGGACGCTCAAAGTTGGGAATGCAACCATTGGCAATGTCATTGATGGAGATGATGTTGTTGATATTCCGGATGACATGCTTATTGCTACTACAGGTGACCCTCTTGCTTCTATTGTTGAAAGCACGTATCCTTCCCTGTTGGAAAATATGAGTGATCCAACATTTTTCCAGCATCGGGCTATTTTGGCACCGAGGAATGATGTGGTTGACACTATAAATGATTACATGATATCACTGATGCCCGGAGAGATGAAAACATATCTGAGTTTTGATCGCCCGTGTTCTCAAAATGGTACTCTGGGTAGTGCCGATGATGTGCATACACCAGAGTTCCTTAACACCATTAATGCTTCGGGGATACCAAATCATAAATTGTGCCTCAAGGTCGGTGTTCCAATTATGCTAATAAGGAATATAGACCAATCTAATGGCTTATGCAATGGGACGCGCTTAATTGTTACTCAAATGGGTACTCATGTTTTGGAGGCGAAGGTTATAACTGGCACTCGGTTAGGGGAAAGGGTTTTTATTCCTAGACTATCTTTGATCCCATCTGATAGCCGAATTCCTTTTAAGTTTCAGCGGCGCCAATTCCCCGTGGTTGTTTCTTTTGCAATGACGATAAACAAAAGTCAAGGACAATCGTTGAAACAAGTTGGGCTTTATCTTTCAAAACCAGTTTTTTCCCATGGACAATTGTACGTTGCCGTGTCGAGGGTGACATCAAGGGAGGGATTAAAAGTTCTCATTTGTGACGAAGAAGGTGGAACAATGAAGACCACTAAGAATGTGGTTTATAGAGAAGTTTTCACAAACTTAGCATAGGTATGTCGTCCACCACCTACTTTATACACTCTCAATTTATGGTTGTTATTATAAAGTACTTTTTGGTATAATATTAACGTACACATCATTTCTTGATCTGCTTTCAATAATGTTTTATATTTGCACATATATATGGTTGAATAGCTCCTCATTTCGGTAAAATCTAAACGAGATATAACTAACGGAACATAAATAATGTTATTTGAGATGAGATATACATGCTTTACATTTTCAAGATGAAACTTAAAATTAACCATATTCTTCCCAGTCTTTGAATTACAGATGGGTAGAATAAGCATCACAATTCACCGATTGCTTTATGACATATGTTGCAAATAACTCAAACTAATTTAAGTTCGAAAATTAATTCACTAAAATTCAACTATACCTCACATGTGTTTTGAAATTGATAAATAATAATGACAGAAAATGAGTCCAGCACACCATCTACACTTTCCCCTGATTCAGAGTAACAATCCATTTTGGAGTGACTTCTACTTTAACCACAATTATAAAGATTAACATATTCTGAATTCTTATCAGAGCTCAACTTTGGTTTCTATTACAGGTTTCAACTATGGAGAAGATGCAACTAAAACAATGGAGATATTGTGTGGAAAAAAACATACCTCGAAGCCTGGCCTAAGAGAATTCCTCAGCCAGTGAACCTAATTCCACTCTCTTTCTTCTACCTGGCAGTTGTAATTCTAATTAGTTACATTCAATTTGAAAAAGGAAACATGCACTGCACATTCCTTCATTTACTTCTCTTTCTTTTTCAGAAACTTCATATATTGAGTAATACACTGGTGATTTTCACGAACACAGAATCTGGCCAAATGGCGCCACTAACATATTAGATTATTCTGGATAGATGAAGTATTAAGTTAATGTCATTTTTTCAGAATCTGGCCAAATATCAAGTACCGTTAGGGTCCTCATATGTGAACAACTAAGCAGAATATGAAATCAATGAATCATTAAAAAGAGTGAATCAGAAGAAATTTATCTAAACATATTTTTTTAAAATACCCAAAATACCTTCTTTTCAACTTCTACTTCGGTGCCACCAATTTCGACCTCCAGGGATTCCGATTTCACTCTCAACTGCTTTCCGCCTGCATCTACACGTCCAACCTTCTTCCAATCCCTTTTACTCCTCTACAGGTTTCTATTAATGCAACTCCCAACTCAATTTGAAGAAAACAACGGGTCCCAGATCCTAATCTAAAGTTTGGCCTTCAGTTAGGTGTTGATGAGTAGTGTGTGCATCTAAGTATGAAGTATTTCGGTGTGATTACTCTTCTTACTCCTCTGGAGGTTTCTACTATTACATTCTAGATTATTAATTTTGTTGTTTTAAACTATTTCAATTTTTAGAGATTTTAGGGTATGTATGCAGGGGGAAAAAGTGTGATTTTCGTATTTTGATTACAAACAGCCGAAAAGAGTGTTTCTAAGGTAAGTTAAATAAAACAATTAAAAACTAAAACCTAGAAATTTCTTTTTAATTTTTCTATTGCACAAAAAACATATCCCGTATATTTTATCAAACACTATCAATATTTAGAGCCCGTTTGGAGACCTCTTTTTTCGGCTTATCAGCCAACTTTTTCACCAAACACGTAATTTTTACTTTCACACGCCGAATTGTGTAATAATCAGAAAAAATAAGGTTGAAGTTACTTTTCTGGCTATATTGGCTGAAGTTACTGTAGATGATCATTTTAACTATTTTTACATATATTTTTTTATTTATTTTATTAATAAAATATATTTTTAAAATATTTTTTTCTTGAATCAGCAGAATCAGCCAAAACAACCACTTCATCCAGAACTTCATAAATTTCAGCAGAATCAGCCAACACAGCCGATTTTCGTGTTACCAAACGGGCTCTTACTTTTCAACATCATTTTTTTCTCAAACACTACAAACTTTTATTACTATGAATTTTTTAAAGCAGAAGCAATTGCAACACTACTTTTATCTCAACTTTGCCGTTCACATTTTTTGTCAAACAGGTAGTACAAAAGTGCATATTTAGTATGCATAAATGTATAAATAATGTTTCATAGTAAAATGTTCATTATTTCATTTTTAGATGTCTCATATTTACATTTTAGTTTTTTTTCTTAAAATCCAGTTTAAGAGTTAAATTGTTAAAAATGATACATCTATTAAATCGCATTACAATCACTAACCTCATTATGTAATATATGACTATCAATTATATTTCTCAAAATATACTCAAATTACCTTCTTTAATTACAGTCTAAATAATCATTTTGTTTTGCAATGGGAACTTCTAAACGGAACAGAGATAGTACTTTACTGGCATAAAAAACTCTTCCGAACAATTTAACCTATTGTCTACAAAGACCTTCTCAAAATCGAATATCAGTATTTTTTGCAACATTACAAAAAAAATTGTAATTTACTTATATACCAATATTATATGGAGTAATAATCTATACAACTTTATCCCGTGCAACGCACGGGTACCGATTCTAGTTACTCACAGTGTCGGAAGAACATATGGAGATCTCGCCAAGCGTAAGGAAATGAAAAAGAAAGCGCAAAAGGTGAAACAATGAACAGACGAAATGAAATAATCTCACTTTTGTGTAAAAAGCAGTAAACAGTAAAAAGCAACGATCTCCAGAAATCAAGCGGCGGAGCTTGGAATCATGTCAGGGATATTTTTTTCTTGTCAGGGATATTTTGTGTGTGTCAAGCACGTCAGCGTTTAGGATAATATTTCCGGGTAATTTGAAGTTCCGTTAGCCCAAATAGAGGGAAGAAAAACGGTATACTTCCGTCAGCTGACCCTTGCACATATATGAAGACTTCCGTTGGACTGTAGTAACGTATAATTACCCAACTTCACTTCCTTAGGCTCTTTATATATATAAGGATAAGGGAACCTCTTCGGTACATCTACGATACCAGATGTTTCCGTGCATTCAACACATGGCGTGATATTATTTGGTATCTATTCCACATCAGCTATTCATTTAAAAAATATACAATTGCCAAAGTGATCCCTCAACAACGTTGTGTTTGTAATTCCGTCCTAAAACATGTCGTTCGACTTTACTGTTCAATCGCCTCCTTCGCATCCGCAGACCTTATCGACTTTGCAAATCTTATATGTGCGCTTTAGCCGGCCGGCAGTCCAAACAAAATCCCAAATAAGCTCCGTAAGCTTCCTTTTTATTATGCATTTGTGTCTGCTTAAAATTTCATCGTTTCTGAAGTATTCACTTCATGTTGCGCTAATTGTTGTCAAAATTATTAGTTCAGATGGGCAAGATTCGTGAGAGTGGTGCGGTGGGTTCTTTCTCTCCAATTTTCATGGAAGTTTGCTCATTGGTCTGGTGTTGACAGAGGGTTGTGCCTAAGGGGGCATGGAAGAGGATTTCAAATCTAGGATCTTATGTGCGAGCAATTAGAAACCCGGAAATGAAGGAACCGATTTCTAGATTTGCATTTGAGGCTTGAAACTTCTCCAACGAAGTCAGGGAAGAAGCTTTAAAAAGGGGTAACCCCAAATTGCCACTATGACACTATCCTATCTTAATCCGTTGGTACAATTAGGCTAACCGCAACTCAGCCCGTCAATAAATCTAATCTCCCACCTTTTTATACGTATTCACTCAATCAATTCAGTTTTTTCCTGCAACCCAACACCGTCAATGTATTCACTCCGCACATTTTTTTATAATTAAATGCAAAAATCCTTACATTTTTTTTATTTTACATCGTTTATGTGACATTTTATTTTTACCAATAATTATAATTTAAAAAGTCAAACATTTCGATGTAAAAATAAATAAATTTAGAGTTTAGTTTTTTTTTGTTATTTCGTGCTTATATTTTTTTAAAAAATAATGCATGAGATATTCTTTTTAGTTTTTAACATTTGGATCTACTTAAGAATAATTTTGAACCTAAAGATTTCTATCGGATAAAACATCATATTTTTTTAACTTTATATATATATATATGATATTGGTGTCATATGAAAGATTATAAAAAGTTATACATTTTGATATATTATTTATAAAAATTGAATCATTAATAAAAAAGTCATACCATTTTTAAAAAATTTGGGATTTTAATCTTTCATGCAGCTCACATTTTTTCTTTGCTGCGGATACCAAGGAAGCTATTTTTTTTCTCTCTCCAAGAGTCAATCCACCGGCTATATCCCCACGCAAGGGGTTTCCCCAACCCACTAGAAGACCTTGCTATACTCTTTTTGGCTTGGGTTGCAACTCAATTTGGAGTGAAAACCTCAAATTTGGATTTCCACTCCCTTGCATTGCGGATAGCCTTAGAGGACAAATTCTCCTTGAGGGATGCAAATGGAACTACATCAGAAGGTTAATTAATTGTTCTGACGGCCTTTTTAACATCTGATTCTTTCTATCTCATGTTTTGGAATCTATCTAAATTATTAAGTTCTAGTTTCGCTTGATCTGGATCTTTTAATCTGATGTAACTCACTCTTTATGATCTTATATGAATATTTGATTGGATCTTTATGATATTATTATCTTAGTTTGGTTTGGCTAGAAATCTAATGCAGAAGTTGAGAATGCAGATGATGTTCACGTTCTATGATTTATATTGCAATACAATTGACAACACACAACACTCTATATGGACATTCCATTGGTGTTACTGCTCTACAAAATCAGTTAGAGGAACCTTTGGAATCACATAAAGAACTTCTAAAAACTGCAACCCACGATGTACTTTTCCCTTTGTTGTCATTTTTCCTATTGTTATCATGGGCCTGCGAACTGTTTTACTAAACACAATCCTTGTCCCTCTTTTAATCTCTTTTAATCTTACGAGTTATGACTATCAAAGTTTTGTTATGTGTTTCATTTCTTTTTTGACTTAGGTGTTAATAAAGGGAACT